GAAAGAGATCCTTCTCACCACAGCACTGCAAAACAGCTCTACCTTCCATGAACATTAACCATTAAAGAAAATGGATTTTAACTCCAAAAAAGATAAAATACCAAAGTCAAACTTTTGAGCTAATACTTAATTTGGATGATTTGCATTTACAAGTAACTAGCGATAGGACGAGAGGAAATGGCCTCAAGTTGCACCAGGGGAGGTTTAGACTGGACATTAGGAAAAATTTCTTTACTGAAAGAGTGGTCAGGCCTTGGAACAGGCTGCCCAGGGAAGTGGTGGAGTCACCATCCCTGGAAGTATTTAAAAGACGTGTAGATGAGGCGCTTAGTGGGTTTGGTTTAGTGGGTATGGTAGTGTTGGGTTGACGGTTGGACTCGATGATCTTAGAGGTCTTTTCCAACCTTAATGATTCTATGATTCTATGATTCTACATGATAAAATTTGCATTTATATGATATGCAATGCATGTTGCATTTGTGCAACATCCACACCTGACATAATCTGCAGGAAAACCAGAAATTTAAAAATTGGGGCATTCTGGAAGCAGGTGCTTGTGACCAAAAGCCAGGACCTCCCCACAACGGGGCAGAACACAAACTCCTGCATTGCCGAGTTGCACACAAGGCTACTTAGCAAGGGTCACCTCTCCCTGTCCCCAGCAGGAGCTGCATGCTCTGCCTGCCCCGCCGCAGGGCTGGGCAATTAACCATATCCTTGTACAAACAAAGGTAGCGACCACCAGCTTTCAACCCAGGTCTCTTTATTTCCTCCTTTTCACATTGCAGCAGTTCCCTCCTAGAAAGCAAAATGTCTCCAGTCTTAAAAACACAGCTATGCAAAGCTCCACTGAGACTACATCCTTCAGTCCTACGCAAGGCAAAATCCCAGCTGGCACTAATAAAATATGGACTTAAGCAGCAGTGAAGCTGATGCCTCACTCCAGACGTAACATAGGGCTTTCATTTTGCTTCACGTCAAGAGGTACAAATATTCCAGGCCAGGGTGAGCAGGTTCATAATTACTGTTCATTACATCTGCTTCCCTGTATCCATTAATAATGCCAACAGCCTTCTTGACTAGCCAAGAGCATAGATTTACTCTCACTTGCGTATCAGCTTCTTAGCCTCTCAGGGCCTGCACTCCCCATGGCATGGCACCATGAAGAATGAGGTTTCTTCTCTAATTGTATTTGCCTTCTGCTGTTCCCCATCCCTCCAGACCAGAGGTGTGCGGGCAGCAGCACACCCAGACTCAGTCTTGCAGGGAACTGCCTCTCCAATTCCCCCTGCAGCCACCGTGTGGCACGCTGGCCGCTAGAGGAGGTGCCTCAAAATTAGGACTCTGACTTTGGTTTGATATTTGGGAGATGCTGGGAATCTCATCCACCAGCATTTTAAAGATTGACAGACTCATGCTCTGCCTCTCCACCACCCACTGCCTCCCAGGAGCCCTCTCTGACCCCTTCTCTGGTGTTTTAATCCAAAGAGAAACCACAAGCATGCCATTCAGTGCCATATAAAGTTAAAAGATTACCTGCTTCATCTTCAGCAAAAGAGATGATGTATTGGTAATAGTTATTGATAAGCCCAGGGAACATGCATGTTTGTCCCGTCCCCATGCAGATTTCACTGTACTGCCAGTCCCCGGTAGCATGATCCTCCTTCAAAGACATCAGGCGTCTGCAAGGCAAAAAAGCACTTGCACCAAGCAATCAAGAAGATGATTTATGAACATTAATCAGGACACCTGAAAGGATATTTAAAGCTTCCTACCTGCATTAGCTACTATAGGAAGTGTAGCTCCTCCAAGAAAGGAAAGATTGTTAATATTAAACCACATATATTATACACCCCTGCAACACCTTGTCTTTCAGGGTCAGCACAAGCACAAGAAAAAATTATATGGGAGGGTTTAAGAGATGTCAGACTGGGGGGACCTTGCCAGAGATGCGTAGCACTTGGCTTCATCGCAGCTCTGTGGCCCCTCTCTCCGGCGCCCAGGACCCGTGCCTCAGCCAGGGCAGGCGGCGCGGGGGCTGCGTGCGAGAGGCCTGGGAGATGCAGATACAGCAAAGGCAGAGGAGGTGGGGGGAAAACAAACCAGTCTCATGCCTGCCTCATCACAGGTTTGCAGCAGACTCACTGCTGGACAATATTATTTTTTTCTTTCAATATCTTCAGTGTCTGGAAACATTGCATGAGAGGTTTTTTTTTTTAGGATGCATTGAAACGCTTTTTTACACCACTCCCAGGACTTTAAATGAACATCATATCATTGCCCCTTTATTTGTACTGGCACAATGTGACTCAGCAACATCGACAGCTGCTGTAATTTCCTGCACAGCACCATGGACTAAAGGTTATATAAAACATGCCACGTGGGCCCTCTGTAACGAGCAGTCAGGCTTTGCCCAGTGCCTGCAACCAGCAAGTAGCAGCATACCCTCCGTGCTTATACTGCACGAGCACTCGCAGGCAGGCGTAGTATTGTGGAGGACTTTGGCTGGGGGTATAGTGAGTATCTGAAGTATTTACTTACCCACTCATGAAATCACCAAATATGTACAGGCCATTCAAGTTTGGAGACTCGCAACCCCGATAGACATAGCCTCCTGTAACGGATTTCCCCATTTTGTGTGGATATGCGTAAATTGGAAGCACATCATCTGTAGGGGAGAAAAGATCTGTGACTTGCCTTTTTTCATCCATGATGCAGAACAGCTGTTTATCTAGATAGTTCTGAGACTAGCACGATACGATCTGGTTCATCTGAGCACCTTAATTAAATGAAGTGCCAATGGAGTCATATTTAGTTTGATTTTCACCTTTTCAGAACATGATCGATAGCCCTGTCTAGCTGGCTGTGCTAACCAAGGACAAGCTAGCTCAGCAAGACTGGTTGCTGTTTCACTCGCAATATAAGCTGAATCCCTGATAAGCCTGAGTGCTCTCTATTACCCAGACACCTCACCGTCCTCCCGAGTCCTTCTTCTCCTGCTACAACCCAGCTATGGTGGTGCCGCTTCTGGCCCATTTCTACACAGCCTGGCTGGTTTTGCTATGAATTTGCAGGTTACTCTTAGAGTCACTGCACCCATGAAGGAGATGTTTGCTCAATGCAGCTTTGTTTTGGTGGTGAAAGGGGAAAAAGAGATGGGTAACTCCAGACTGCAGGCACTGATGAAAACATACGTCATATGTCAGGGCGAATAGCTTCTGTTTCTCTGAGACAGGGAAGCTTAACCTGAAAGGGGCATCAAATATTTATGGTATGGCACAGGGAAAATGTAGTACTGGCATATTCATTGTAAAATGTAAGTTAAAACACCAGACAGAGGCAAAATAAAGGAGGATGCCTTGATTTTGAGGGTCTCCATTGGATGCTTCTTCCCCTTTCTTTCGAAACTCCTGGGTTACAGGTATCTCCTCGTGGCACCCACCCCTCTTCGTCCTCACAGCCTTTCCCCCTGCCCACATAGCAGACGCCTCAAGTAGCAAACCCAGCAGCTCCACCAGTGGGGAACTTGCACCAGGGGCATTTCATCTAAAGCAAGTGTTTTCTACACTGCAGCTGCACTTATCATTTTAAAGGGGCTGTGACATTTCACTGTTCTAACGAAAGAGTCTCTAAAGGCATCAGAAATTGTTCCAAATCCCCAGAGACCTCGGTAAAGTGCTTGCCGTGAACGCTCACACAGGCGCTGTCACACAAGAGAGCACTAAACGGGCTCTCTGACAACTGCTTCAGCAAAGGGACTGCAAAAAATCTGCTCCCTGCTCTTGAAATTTTTATAAAAAACACTTAATCATTACCACTGTACTTGTAGCTAAGTTAATATAAAGAAGGAAGTTAAACTAAGTTAATAAAAGGAAGGAAGTTAAACACCACCACATAGCACATAGAAGAGGAAAAAAATCTGAATCTTAGCTAGCGCAAATCAGTGCCAGCCCACTGCCCCCCTGGATCTCTGGGGAGATGCTCCAGCACAAGATGTGGTCCACATCTGACCTTGCAACACAATCCACTATGACTTCACACATGCACCAGAATTTAGCAGCCAGCAAATACCCTGAATCCAGGTTTGGAAAGTAAAAAAAAAAAAAAAAAATTAAGGTTTTCCTTTTTGGCGTAGCTAAAATAAATAAAAATACAGTGTCATTCAGTTACCTGCAAAGCAGGCAGTCTGCATACTGGTTAGCCAGCTTACACAATATGTTTCTTTCTTTTTTTTAAATAAGTACACTATTTTTGAGTTATGGAGAAAAATACAATTCCTCCAAATTTTTCTTGCTTCTTCAGGAAAGCTTATTTTATGTGGAAAAGATGAAATTGTCCCCCTAAATCACAGAATCACCAAGCAATTTGACTAACAACACAGCTCACCTAGAAAAACAACAGCTAGCATGTTTCATTTTCCTCCTAACTCAAAAATGGTAACATTTGGACTTTCAATACTTATCCCCAAGTCAGCTCCCTTCTAGACTCAGACTGCATAGATTTACATCTCAGAAATGTGTGTTTTCCACCAAGCAGCCAGGATTTGAAGGCAGGAATTAAAAATGACGGCACTGAAAACTGCACGGTGTGAGACATAGGTAATTTAGAGAGAACATCTATTTTACCTATTGAAGAATTGGAGCAAAGTTTTTTATCGTAGCAGCTGAACCCTTCTCTCGCCCTCCAGCCGTAATTTTTCCCTTTCTCGACGATGTCAATTTCTTCGTATTTATTCTGCCCCACATCTCCACAGAAGAGCCGCCCTTTCCCTTCCTTGGTGTGAGGTTCGCCCCTGTCGAAAGAGCAGCGCCACATATTTCTCACTCCGTACGCATAGATTTCGGGGCGAGCCTTAGGGTCGTTGAGAAATGGGTTGTCGGGAGGGATTCGGTACAGAGGCCCGCGGTCGTTGTTGTTCACATCGATCCGCAGCACTTTGCCCAGCAGGGTTGATCTGTATTCGGAGAAGAAAGGGGAAAAAAAAAAAAAAGAAATAAAACTAGACCTCGGTTAAACATACCTTCTCACTCAGAGATGGGTTTTTGGAAAGTCTAGGGTTTGATTCTTTCTGGTTTGGAAAAGACAAGCCTTTAAATATCTCTGAAAAAACAACCATTTCAAGACCATTTCATTTGTCCCAGGCCACTGAACAGCCTTCAGGTGGCACTGACTTCCCAGGACCCACTGCCCCACGGACGCACGCTCATGGCTTGGAGCTGCCGCAGGGTTGGCTCCGCGCTTCCCATTTCACGGATCCCCCCCACTTGCAGAAAACTGGGCTCCGAGCAGAGAGCTGGAAGGCCCAGCGAGCTATCGCTGCTCACAGGGAAAAAAGACACACCTCGATAACCTCCCCTAAGGAAACTGGAGTTACACAGTGTAACTGTGCACAAGCACCAGCGCAGGAGTTAGGTAAAAAGTAAACCCACGACAGAAAATCCCCCCCGGTCTACCTCCACAGTTTCTCTCCTCAACCCAAGGGTGACAGGAGGGACACACGGCACACACAAGATTTTAGGGGCTCTCACTTGTTCTGGGCGTTTCCAAAGGTCCCAAAAGGATCCCCTGCCATGCCTCCATCTCCAGTAAATATATAGAGATACCCATCATCTCCAAAGAGCAGCTCTCCTCCATTATGGTTGGAAGCAGGTTCTTCTATTTCCAGGATTATCCTAACCGAAAACAGGGAGGAGGCATTACCTACTGCACAAGCCCTAAGCAAAGGGCAGAGCAACATCACTCCAACGTTGCTCTTGACACATGGAAACAGTTACAGATCAGTTCTGATGCAAATTCCTCCATATCCACGTTACTGAATTTTACGTGGGCATAACTGATTTTCTAACCTTAAGTAATTCCAACATATCTTCCAGATTACAGAAACACCAAATTGTGTAATAGGAAAATCTGGGAAATCACATGACAGAATATACTTTTAATTAATTATACTTTTCCTCTGATTCTTCCTTCCTCCTTGTTAAACTTCTTTTTTTTTCTTTTTTTTTTTTTAAGAAAAGGCATCTCAGCTTAAATCTGATTGTAAACTGCAAGAGAAAGGACTCCAGTCCATCTGTGCATCTGTACAGCAGCATTTGGCACAATCCTGACAGGCGTTTTCAAGACGAACCTAAAACTTTTCAAACATTAAGTAATTGTTAAATTCTTAAAGAGAGAAGAATCCTTAAATGATAATTACATACACGGGACTTTAGGAGCTTAAAGAGTGGTTAAAAAGCAGCCCCACCAACAAATTAACATTTTGACAAAGGTTATTCAAAGCAGTACCAACAACCTTTGCCTTCATTTTAAAACCTAACTCTCTCTTACTTTAATCTGTTTATTTTATGCACCTGGCATCCCTTTTGTAGTAAGAAAAGGGTGACATACATAAAAGTATAACTTTATAGAAAGGTAAAGCCACAAATACATGCAGTGGAGGTTCCCAGGTGTAATAACTTTTACTCCAGCTTCTAAAAATGTCCAGATTTCATGCTGACAGTGCCTCTTTAATAGCTGCAAAACCAAATGATAATAATCACTTATACCACCTCATTTTTAGCGAGTTTTTTTCCCTTCTGACAGTACTGGTAGTTTGTGATCAGACTGTAAATTGTGGGAAGGAACCCAATAATATGTAATTATTCTGTCACCTGCTGCTAAACATCACCACTTCTGAGATAAGGAAACTGTGCAGGAGCGCACGGACTCCAGCCAGCAGCAGGAGCGAGGGAGGATCCTGTATGGACACAAAGGTGAATCCTCCTCAACCAAAGAAGATGGAAGAAAACAAAACACATTGAGAAAAAATCTGCAGGCAAACAGACATACGCCTTCCTGCTAAGGCAATGCACGCCATGTGTCGGCCGAAGCTGCCTCTTGGGCAGCATCTCAGGATGAAGTCAGTGGGAGCCGTGCCTACACAAGCACAACAGGACCACAATTTTGTTTTCTTAAGCTTTCGCCGTACTAACCATCAGCTAAATAAGCACAGAAAATGTTACAAATGTAGAGCCTGAGGATTTTTAAACAAGACAGCTCAAGGGCCTTGACATCTGCAGGTTTAAGCTCCTGAGTTGCTTTCCGGACGACCATGTTTAAATTCCCCTTACCCGTCATCTACAGTGCTGCTTACACTGAATTGCTGTCATTGCTTTACAAACCAGCATCCCCTTCCTATCATTAGGCTACGTGCATTTTTGAGCTAGAATCATCCACTGCTGAGTATTTGGAAAGCCCTAATATAACCCATGTAACAAAGCAAAAATCTTAACATTAATAATATTCAAGGGTCTCTTAAAACAGTGGTTCTGTTACGTGGTTCTGCACCAGGTTATAAATCTATAGACTGTCTCCACAAACAAACCTCTAATTATCTGTGCATGTTAATGTGGATCAACTGCAGGATCAGACTCAAACAAATGAGATTTCCAATGAAAATGCACTCAGTAATAGCACAGTGGTTTGCATTTTATTTAATTTGATATTAAATTTGTAATATCACAGGGTTGAGCTGTCATTCAGGTAAAGAAATATGGGGCCAAATCCATCTTCGGTCCAGTATCACTAAGTTTGTTTATACTGATTTTGGAACCTTTGGCTTCAGAATGAATTTCACTCATGCTTTGCAGAAGTCTATTTTAAAGGGTAATAATTACAATACGAAAAAAAACCCAACCAAAAACCAAACCCCAAAATACTAACTGTAAATCATGTTTAATCAGTGTTCAGTTAAAGATTCTGACATACCAGAACTGAGAAATTTAAATGTTTTATCCCTGAGCACTTGCAGTTCATCCACAGAGAACAGGCATATCCTCTGTCTCAGTAAGCTAGACATGGACTTGGACTAACTTGCTACCACACTGGAATACAAGAACAATATTAAGCTAAATAAGTCTCATTCCTTAACAGCCTTTAAAAATGCACAAGCTGCCCTCTGAGATCTTAAATACATTTGCCAGAGAAACATGTGTACAATACCTTTCAGAACCATGGTCCAAAGCATTCATGTCAGCAGAAGAAATTCTGAACTCACTGATTCGGATTCTCTCTTCATAACGAACTTCAACTGAATAGTAGACATACACTTTACCATTAAATTTGAATTTAGGATGGAAGACAATACCTAGAAAACCTCTCTCGTCTCCTTCCCAAGGTGAGGTAAGTACGGCTTCGCTGATGTTCAGAAATGGCTTTTCAAGCCTGGATCGATCGGGGAGGTAGGTCCACACCAGGCCAACCTGCTCCGCAATGAAGAACCTGTGGGTGCCATCGTTGGCGTGCACCATCGCAACGGGATTGCGCAGCCCGTTGGCGACCTCAACAAGGCAGAGCTGGAGACAGCCCTCTGCGTCGGCGGTCACTAACCCCAGGTTTTGGTTAAGATTCTGGTTAGCCAACAGGTGTGGAAAACAGTAGTCTGTGTCCTCCAAGGACAGGTAGCGGCAGAATTTTGCCATGTTGTTCTCCAGTGCAATTAACTCTTGGTCTGCAGAGAGATAGCGAAAAATGGAGCGGCATTTTTGCCACACTTCCAGGCAATAGTCTTGGCAAAGTCCTGGTATCGTCCGCACAGGGGTGGAGGGATCTTCGGCGTCGTACAAGTGAGCTGCATATGGAGAGCATTCCTAGAGGGAGAGAGAAAAAGCCTCAAGCCATTCTTGGACCAAATTTGAAACAGCTGAGCAGCAATACTAATTGGAGAAATTTCACCTTAATTACAACATATGTTGTGGTTTATTCTGAAGATATATTAACAGAGGAAAAGGGGGTTTATCTCAGCATTCACGGAAATGATCTTCAATGTTCCTGGTAAAAGCTGGCTTCCTCATGCTGTTATTCATTTATTCCAGCCATAGCACTAACTCAAGAAAACCAGCAATGACACATATCTTGCTACCTCTCCCTAGTAGACTGTACTGGGGAAAAAGAGACTTTTCTGTCTTGGATGCTCTTGCTTTATCTATGAAATAATGAGCAGATTCACCACAGCACAGCAGCAAAACCAATGAGTTAGCTGAGAAGATTGAGGTCCTGCATCTCCAGGCTGAGGAGGGAATGGGAAAGGTTGGCGGGGCCAAAGCCTGCGACTTCCATACCTCATCATCTGACAATCCAGGCTCGCACCACAAACACAGACATGATCTACGTGTGTGGGACGGAGCAGGATGAGAAAGTGTAGGAGGAGGGAAGGAGGACACCCATCCTTTGTACTGCACAGTGCACCCAGCCCTGGAGTGCTATCACTACATACACCACCCTTGCTCAGGTCCAGCTGCCTTTGCTGGTGGATCTTTGCCTACAGACACTTTATATACCTGACTAGAAGAGGTGAAACGTCTCTCATGATCAAGACATTGGTCACCAAGTTCTGCAGGGGATGCTCAGGCTACAGGATTTCAGACAGTGAGCACCAAATGACCATAACTGGAAATCTACCTAAGGACTGAATCAAGTTCATTGTATTCTCCACTACGAGAACTCCGACAGGCACATTTTCCGTATGTAAAAAGGAATCTGCAATCCAGTAAAACTGTCTGTAAATTACAAACTGACCAAAGTGACTCAGTTCTGCTTTGCAAGGGCTTTTCCTTGTAATAAGCACAGTATTTTCCAGTTGTAATGCATCTTCCTGACAAACATCTCAAAAGTGCTCTCCAAATAACGTAACATGACTCAGTGGAGGCTCAGTTGTTTTCACAGGGTAGATAATTAACTGAGGCAAGAAAGGTAGGAAAAGAAATTTTCCTTCTTGAATAAATTCTGCATTTTTTAATTCCTAGATGGCATTTCTTCCAAGCAAAACCAGCTTAGTTAAAAAAAACATACATAGGGAGCTGTTTCTAAATCTATAGGGAGCTATTTCTTAATGCAGATTACAGCACTATTCAATAGCTGAAAAGACATAACATCCAAGATACTGAAGTATTCAAATTAGCTGATAAGTACACACAATATTTAATTTTTATTTTATTTTCCATTACATACCATAATAAACTGAAAGGCCATATAACAGATCATTAGTGCACAATAAGCTTTCCTCCTGGAATGTCAAGCCATTCATTGCAAAATGAAGGTTATTATGCCTTCAAATGAGCAGCAATTAATGTGGTAAAAAGGAGATTGCGTGTGACACAAAACAGTGAAATTACAGGGGCAGATTGGGTAACGGCAGTCAGCTCGGTTACACGAGGTGTGCCAGGGACAGAGCATTTGCCGATGCAGTCGTTATGACTGAAAATTTGGCCTCAGCAAACAAATTGAAACAAGACAGAAAGGGAACATGAAGGCAGGGCTGGTGGGAGCTCAGTCTGTTGCTGCCTACGGAGGTTTCACATTCAAAGAGAGGAAGGTCACTGCTTGAGAACTGAAAGCCTCCTTCGAAGTAAGCAGTGATCTTAGGCATTATAAAGCAATGTCCTGGCTTCAGCATTGGAATTAAAAATAGCACAGAGGTATGGTTTCCCTGTCCCTTTGCCGCTGCGGGCCGTTCACCCCAGCCTCAGGTGTGTTTGAACAGCAGACAACGTTGTGGATGACTTCTTCACTCCTTACCACGTTCCTGGTGGCATACGGCTATTTACAGCGGCATTACGCTGACAGTGATGTTCAGAGATCTATCACTAGCCAGAGAGTACCCAAACATGTGTCTAGGGTATTTTCCAGCCACATTTGGAATATCTTCCTAATTTTATTCCACAAGAGATGGAGCCTGACTCCTGATCCTGAATTTCTCTGCTTCTGAAGCAAATGTTGTTGTCCTTCACCCTTCATGTCATCTCGTCACATTCACTAACTCAAAACACCAAGAAACTCTACACTCGGTCACAGCCCAGCATCACTAATAGATCTAAATTCTCATTTCCAAATGACGTGGTCTGTTCATTCATTTAAAACTATTATGTGGTCCAAAGACCAAGGAAACTAATGGGAAGATGATCAGTAACTTGAGTAGGGCTGGAACAAGCTCGCACTATGAAAATAACTCATCAGAAAATAAAACAAGTGACATTAAGACAAGTTAGCCAAATCCATCCTGTTCCAGAAATTCAGAGGCAGCTATTTATCTGAGGAATTGCAACAGTCTGAATTTGGACGAACACCCACATTTACGGCTGCTATCAGCCTGGAGGAAGCAACTGGACTCCTCAGGAAAGCACCTAACTTTCACGTAATGCCTGACCTTCTCTGTCCACCTCCATCTGGAAACTCAAGCCTTTAAGCAAGCTGTTCCCCGAGAAGTAGAACAAGGCATCTGCTCTCCCGCAGTTTGGTGTCCTGTATCCCACCACGCAATAATCCACATCTACACACGTCCCCTGAGACCTGCTGTCCCCATCAAATTACCCCCGGGTCTCGAGGCTGTGGGGCAGGCAGGGGGATGTCCCACCACAGCCTGCCTCTCCCCCACGGCCAAAGGCAACCTCTCAGCCTGCTTCTTGGTGGGGGAAACCCTATTTTGGGTCTGGGGGATCATGGGCAGCACTGAGGGAAGGATGTTTCTCCTCTTCCACTTGCCTTTCCACAAGGAACATAAACAGCACCACGTAGCAAATCACAATTTAAGAGAAGGTAGGAACCCTCACCACAAGAATAAGCCAAGACACTTGTCAAAATAATTTGATCACATTTGAGAAAAACCACAAATTGTGAGCAGAAAGAGACAGAAGTGTGCTGAGTAAGTCACAGAAACCCACTTATTAATTCAGGTCTAAGGTATAAATTGTATATATAATGAATGAATGGAAGCAGAGTGTTCTGGAGTGTTTGCAATGCCTGAACATCCATTTCATGCTCGTGCTGCCAGAGGTGGCGGTTTGCAGACGCATCTGGGCTGGTGATGCACTGAGCTCATCAGAACATTTCAGTGAATCATTTTTCCCACACTGAAATATTTCTGCTTCTGAACAAATTTTGAATGGTCAGGTTTCTGATGTATGCAGGAGACTTACTTGTTGCTTCCAGAGGCAGAAGGAGTGCTTAGCAGGCACTGCTAACTGGTTTCCTATCTCTAAAAGGACTTTGGACACGGCTTCTTTCAGAAATATATTCAAAGGTTTTTTGTTTCCAGTACAATGTGAGATGAAATAAAAGTCAAATCTCTAGAAGCTGTTGTGGAATAGGGTTGTCCTTCTCTTCATGCTTTCAGGAACACAAGAGGAACCCTGAAAAAGGTACTGCTAAGAGCAGGATTTCTGAAAAGCACTTTGATCCCATCTGAGCACAGCAGACGAGACTCCACTGTCTGAATTAATTTAAGATTTACACTTGCCCAGCACAGAGCTGCCACTGCTCTGTCTCAGGGGCATTTTCATACATACGAGGTTACCGCTGATGATAGGGTCAGACGCTTTGCTCTGCGCAGACTGTGATCATCCTGCTATCATATCTGGCCATAGAACATCAACTCTGAGTGGAAATTTCCCCCGTGCGGGATGGCCGCCACAGAGGTTTCTAGGCCACATCCTCAGGCATTACTCTGCACCCATTGTCACGACTGTTAGCACCTGGCACGCACTAAAAGCATCTCAGGATGCTGTAACCCAGTACAAAAAAACACCTGATCCCATGAGTTGGGCTTAACAAGGAACATGTTTTGTGCAGGTTGGTCCCCTCCTGGGTGTCTTCACCAGGTTGAAGGATCAAACCCTGGCAGGGTGAGGGGAGTCTGCAAATTGTAACTGCCCAAACACCCATCTCAGAGCACTGCTGCTCATAAATTAAAGCAGAACAACATCCCTATTCCTCTTCCAAACACCTGCTAAAGGCAGAAAAGTCCACTGGGAAACCTAATGATGGACAGCCACTCCTGACAGTGCTTGGCCTGGCTGCTGCATGTCTAGGCTGCTGCACTAATCCCTGATGCACCCATACGTGGGCCAATGCATCCATGCCTGGGCCTGGGCATTAATGCCACGGCTGATGCACCTATGTGTGGGCCCATGTACCCCCGTCTGGGCCGGGCACTAACGCCACGGCTCACACACCCCTGGGGTGTCCAAAGCCCCTGTGCCTGTGCTGATGCAGACCTGCATGGGTGGATGCAGTCATTCCTGGGCTGATGTGCCCATGTCATGGTTCATGTGAGGTCCTGTGGGGTCCAAAGTACCTGTGCCTGGACCAATGCACCCCCGCAGACCAATGCACC